TTCTCAGTTTGAAACAGCTGTATGCTCCAAAATGACAATCATCCTTAATCAAGTTTTTGTTTCTCTGTGCAGAATAGCTTATCATAAGGGTGGTGTCATTGGTTATAAATATGTTGACTGTGATGTAGGAGAACTTCCTAACGTTTTGTTTTAGTCGATTGAACAAGATAGTAAATTTTTGCTTTCTTATTGTTATAATCAGTTTTATCTTGATATCTCTGGGTTTGATATTTAGAATCATCTAATCAATTTCACCTGAACAGCAAAATATGCACTTATACTCTGCTATGGCTTTTTTCAGGAACAAAAGTCCTTAATTTCATTTATAATCAGGGAACATAAAGAAAACAGTATCTACCTTGCAGCAGTGTATGTCACAAGATTGCTCAGGATGTTAAAATTTTACTACACTAAGCAAAAACATGGAGCTTTCATGAGACATTTTTTCAAGTGAGACTTTTTTCCTGATCTTTTGGGCTGAGTATGTGACATACTTGCATGAAAATGGAGCCAGAAACACTCACTTGCACTAAAATTTTAAACTACTTTGTTATGAAGAATTCTGGTAGGAATTTTTAAAAGCCCAGTAGGTCACACACTGAAGCAATATTCGCTTGGAGAAAGATTTTCATTTTAAAATTTCGAGTCTTTCTCAGAAATTTTGTCTTTTTTTTCTGAAAGTGTGTTCCTTCTTTTCATTGCAAAAAAGTGCGCGAATAGGATCCGTGGGGTGACCTGGGAACGTAGATCAAAAAAGGTCAAGTCACTCAACAGAACCGTCTTTTTGTTTTTATTCTCTGCTTCGGGGGGTCTTGTATTATCCTCGGAAGCATGAACCCATGTGTTTGCTTTCCACCATGAAAAGAACCAACGTCGTCGTCGTCAATGAGATTCATGGGATGGCTGAAACGGAATCCCGAACGGATTAATCAAGATTCCGTCGTCGCGATCCAGAAATGGAAAAGAAAGAAAAGACTTGGTCGGCGTTGTTCCAATCAGAATTCCGCCTGGATTCGGAGCAGCCCCACTGACGCGGAATTCAACCTTGTTGTGTCGGTCTGCTTTTTATTGTCCATTGTGTTGTCGAAACTACTGTAGTACAGTACAGTAATAAGACCCGCGCCCTCCTGAAAAGATAAGATTTTGCTGTCTGTCACCATCTTGTGTGGGTGTGTGTGTCATGTTGTCTGTGGCTTGGATGAAAGCTTAGGAGATGAAGAATTGCAGTAAAATTTCGTTAAAACGAACTGCAAGGGACCTGAAAAAAATGCCTTGCTTGACATGATTTATAGTTTGTTGAGCTAGTAGGACTGAAATTTCGTGGGGTTAATACATGCAAGTAAACTCTCTCTATCTCTTTAAAAAAAAAATCTGAAATGATGCTGAATACATTCTGATTAGAACTTTATACTTCCTGCAATGATATATTTTCTGCACAAAAGGTTAGCGTTTAAATTTTGAAGTGGTTACAATGATGCACGTAAACCCCAAAAGGGTATAACACGGATTAAATAAGAACTTTTTGACAAAAAAGGGACCTCATCTCGTCATAGGAAGTTTTGTTTGAAAAAAAAGATTTTTTAACCGGTAAAGGTCTAATCTCTTATATGCTGATTAAATTTTGAGTATAGCTTCATACTCCCTGCAAGGCTGAATTTTCTGTACAGAAATGATAGCATTTTTGTTTGTGATGATTTTCAGCTATGAAAAAGTTTATTTTTTGCATCTTGTGCCAATTAGTAAAAAAAAAATCTTGCCCTTGCCCATATAATCAAGGCAAAATTCTTTGTACTGACATTACTGAGGAAAATTAGCTTGTTATAAACACAATATTTATGACATTGTCTCTGTGAAGAAACTAGTGGGCCCAGGAAAAAAAATTATATCTGTAACGAAATTTCTTTGTAAAGAAGTGTTACTGTAGTAGTGATTGCTCCTGTTCCCGATTTCCTCTCTTTCTCTCTTTATTCCTAATTTTTCCCTCATTTCCAGCCGCAGCCAGGCAGTCGAGTGGAAAGGAAAGCACCGCAATCTCCTCGTGATTCATACAGGCGTGGGAACATTTTCCTCGTCGCGTTCATTCGTTCTTCGTTTGGAACTGAGACACGAGCGAACAGAACGAACGAACGATCGATCGATCGATCGAATGAGACAGACGACTTTTGGATGATCAGACGGACGCGTACGACGAGGGAATCGCCAATCGAGCGAGAGAACTTTTCTTCATGATTGACCGCCTTTTTTTCCTCCCACATTTTACGGAAAAAAAGGGGATTTGAATTATGTATTTTATTCTGAGAATAACCTCCCCCTCGGGGAAAAATTGTGAGAAGAGCCTGTGTCCAGATGTGAGTGTGTGTGTGTGTGTGGATTTCGGCTGTTTGGCGACGGACGTGCGGTCGAGTATTTTCTGTGACTGTGACGACCTCCTCCTCACTTTCACCAGCTTTCCTTTTCTTTATTCACAGAATATCAGTCACACGCACACAGTTCTCATAAGGCACGATCTTTAAGTATGACTGATACCCAGCCATTCAAACATTCACCTTGTGCAACGTGGTTTTTTCGACAGCGACGACGTGTTTTCGAGGTCTTTTCATTTCGGTGCGCAGGTCAGTGTATAAAAGTGAGTGAGTGAGTGTAAGAATTTAAGCTTGCTTTATCTGCATACGAGGGGTAAAAATTCGTGTTAATTCTTAATTAGAATAAACATTTGGAGGATTAGTGGAAACTTGATCTTCTGTTGCAGCAGCGTCTTGCTGAATTTTTTCATCAGAACAAAAAGAAAAAATTTTTTCAAGATGTGAACCTGTCAAGTTTTTCTGAGACGAGCTCGTGTTTAATTTCTGTAACTCTTTTAAAGTTTCTATCTGGTCTCAGTCAGCAATCGCGAAAAAATATGCAAATAGTGGCCAAATCAAAATGAAAAAAGGTGGTTTAACGGGTTCCAATGTTTGTATCAGCGATTTTATTTCTTCGAGAGTGTCAAAAAGGGGAAATTAGTTGAAGGTGACTCGATGTACGTCCATAAGGTTTCCTTGGAATTTGATAAACTGGCTGAAGTATTCGAGTTTCTAACGTATCCTCTTTCCAATTGCTTTGAGATTGGAAAAATGTCTAGAAGTGAGCCTTGGTTGAATTAATGAGACTTCACTTGACTTGAGTTCTTGATTTGACAGCCGTGTAGTTCGTCAAATCGAAATCTTTGTGCAATTTAACTCCACAGTTTCGATGATGGCAAGATTCTTTTTTTTTTTTCATTGGAGCCTGGTTTTCAAGTCTGTGGGCATTTGCCGCTAAGAAAACATTTTTCGTCAAATTCTTATTTTTGGGTCATTTATTCTTATTGTCGGACCACCTGCACATTCATGAAACTTGCAATTTTGGCCGATGGACCTCATTTTCTCGCGCTGATTAGGTGCCCTTTAAATTCTGTCGTGTTGGCCTATTTCGACTCAAGTGGGCGAAAATTTGAAGCTAGCATACGAATGACGTGCCAAAAAAGTGCGTGCATACAAATGGCGTTCATTTGCGTTTATTCGAGATTCTAACGGGAAAGGGAAAAGAATGAGGCTGTCGGAATTGGTTAAAACGGAACTCTTCATTGGTTGTCACGTGTCAAAGCTGGTTGAAATCTACGGAAGTAAAGTTTGTAAATGATAATTCTTGTATTTTTTAAGAAAATTTTTTTTTATGAGCAGCACAGTTGAGTCTTGATATAATGAATCGTATTATAGCACATAATTGCTTGTACAGTAATGAGTTTTTTCAGCCGCCTGTGTCATGAAAATGTCGTGAGTCTGTTTGAGAAAATTGAATTCAAGCCAATTTGATGTGTTAAGATTCAATCACACGAGCTCAATTTGTTCTTGAGGTATATTTGTGAAGATGGTTTTAATTTTATTTCGGAAAATCTTTGAACAGATGCTGAGACAAATTTTTTCCTGTGTTCGACGTGCCCGTAAATCAAACCGTGCATATTTTGTGACACGTTTTTAATATTTCATCATGCATATTTTTGTGTGGATCTGATGCTTGCAAAAGATTTTGTTTATTTTTCGAAATCGCATCTTTGTTATTTCGTAAAGCTGCGCCTTTTTATGCCCGACGATGAATATTAACGTGTTGGGTCTGTCTGTGTATGATGAGAGAAATTGCAACATCAACAAAATTTCCGAACTTGTGAGAAACCCCTCGCACAAAACTATAGTCATCCAGTCCAAGTGTATCAATAAGTGAACCGCAAAATATTTTTTTTCCGTGCTTCTCTCGGCGATTATAGCCGACTTCGAGAGACTAGCAATTGTGGTATTCGTGGTGCCCACGTGTGTGTGTGTTTGACGTTTTTGTTTCTCTTTGACGTTTTTCAGAAAACCACGGGAACGACCTCATTTTTTTTGTTTTGTTTTCAATTTCTGGCCCGTGTGCTGTACTCGTGGTTTTATATTTTTGTGGATAGACATTTGAGCCGGATGTGCTCGTCGTATGAATCGGTTCTTCGGAGTTGTAGTATTAGTGGCGGCAGTGGTGTTGGTGTTGGTGGTGGCGTGAGTGCGCGTCGACGACGATGAATCGTCGGATTGAGCGGCGGTGATTCCGGCATGAAAGACCGGCGGTCTGGTGTGGAAGAGTCGTCCCACGGCACACTTGGGCACAAGTCGCGGAAAGAGGCGCCGAAGCCGCAGTGGTTCGTGCAGGAATCGGTGAGCTGCGTTTCATTCTCTATTTTTATTTTTTCACCATTCGTTTATCCGTGTTTTTTTATTGTGTGCGTGATTCTACAATTCTCGTGTCCGTTTTCATTTCGTCATCTTATCTGGGCTCTTTTCTTTTATTTTCACAGCAACCGACGTGGAAACTATGGGGAGAGCAGAAGGCCAGCGACATTGTGTACACCATTTATTTGAAGAAGGTCCGCTACCATCGACCATCGAAAAGTGTGAACAGCGTGAGTGGACAAAGAAGAAAAGAAGAAAGAAAGAAAAGTCCTTTTTGCGGCTCTCGTATTGTTAGATTTTGTCAGAAACTGACTTGGGGTATCCGTCTTCTTAGTTGACGTGTCGTTTGAGCGCTGGATATTCTCTGGAATGAAATTCAGATCAGAAACAATTTTTTCTCGGCCAAAAAGAATTTGTTATACAGTGGTGCCTTGCCTAATGAAAACAATTGGTGTCAGCACTGCATGTGTTAGTCAAAACTTTTGTGAGCCAGGTCACATTTTCCCTGAAGGATCAATGTAAAGCCAATTAACAGAAAATCTGGCAGAAAAAGGTGAAAATTTGCCTTCATTTTCAGAATACTAAGAACAAATCCCTTATAATGCTGCTATAGTTCATTCAAATGATTTTCCTTATTAAATTGCCTTGCTCCCTGTGTCAAAGAATCCTCACGATCTTGGCCAATTGTACTTGGTATAAATTTGTATGTGGTTTAAATGGTATAAAGTTGATTTGGCATTTCAGCCCTGAATTTTCCCTGGAATGAATTTCAGGAGGACTGGATACAAATTTGTTGTAGAGAGCAGTTTGCTGTATAAAACCCCTGTGCAATGGGTAAACAAACCCATGGGACCAAAAATGACTTTTTATGCAGTGGTATATTGTGCCTAACAAACATAATTGAATCCTGCTTATGTATTTGGTAGGCAAAATGTTTGTAGGCCTGAGAATTAATGTAAAACCCATAGATTTGTTTCTGAACCAGAAATCTGGAGGAGAAAAGTGGAAATTTGCCTGAATTTTCACAACAACAACAAAAAAATCCCTGAGAAAACTGCTATAGATCATTCAAATGCCTTTCCTTATTGAAGTGCCTCGCTCTCTTTCACAAATAACCTACATAATTTATACCAATTGTACTCCATGCGTTACTGACACATCGGAAAGAGGAAATTATTAAATACAAATTCTTTTAGATTTAACATCTTTCTGTACCAAATAATGGTGAGTCTCATCTTGAAAACTACACCATTCTTATAGTGTGTAGAGAAAATCATTGTTGAGAGAACCTAGTTCTATCTCTAAAGTGCTTGACAATGCTCTTGAAGAAGAATGTGTTCTTGGACTAATGTAAATATTTGGGCATTTTTACTGCAGTAGATGTGTCCTAGAGTAGGACCTCACAAACTTGCTCTTGACTTTGTTGTATTTCTGTTTACTCTGTCTGAATTTCCATAAAAGCTATGTATCCAGAGATGTAGATATAATTGGTTTTTTAACCTTGTCTCTATGTATGGGAAAATGTTGAATTACATTTTCCCATAGACATCCATGAGAACATGTTGTTTCCTCCTGTTAATTGAGTTAGGAAAAAGTAAAAAAAAAAAACATGTATCTCAACTTCAATAGGCAGGAAATATTCGTGCTGTAGAAACCAAACAAAAAATCTGCTCTTTTGGCATGAAGACGAGCCCAGAAAGGGTAAAACAAGCACATGTCCTGTTATACTGTGCACAAAGGACCAAAAAAAATCCTGAAGACGCATGATTCTTCTATTTCGAGTACCAGTTTGAATGAAATTTCAATGAGATTTATTTTTTATTTTTTAATATGAATAGCTCAACTTGTTCGAGACATATCAAAATTTTTAAAATGGAATATATTTCTTTAAAAAGTTGGCAAAGTGCCAGACATTTTCCAGATTTTGTGACATGATTTTTGAAAGTTGAAGTGGTTCTTAGTCAAATTGTTTTGTATGTCACTTCAGTGTCAACAATATTCCTGTAATCCTTCCTTGTACTTGACGGCAAAAATGCTGGTTTCCCTGACTCAAAAACTCCTCAACTCAATCGTTTTAGTACTTTCCTTCTGAGTTTGAATTGAAGAGGCTTGCTTGACTGCTGCACTTCCTACTGTTCAAGTTTTATAAAATGCTTTTTTTCTCTTGCATTTGGAATTTTTCGCTGAACCAGGACTTCTCCCTTTTTTATTTATTTCATTTAATGAAGGTTGGACAGAAAACTAAACCTGAGACCTATATGCAAAAATTTTTTGAAAATGAGATTTGATGAATACAAAAAAAGAAGAGTCTCTCGCCTCTTAAGATCTAGGTTTTTATTTCAGAAGGGTTGAATGTACCTAGTGACCTCCTCGAGAAGTCCCCTTTTGGCCATGTGCTGCCTGAGGCTGATTTTAAAACAGTGATCTGTAATCATTCGAATGAGGCCTAACATCATTTTCCCATTTGATTTTCTTGCGACTGGAATTTAAATAAAAGAATGTCACCTCCTTAATCAATTGTCTGTAAATTTAAAAATCCATTTGACTGTTTTAAGTTTGATTAGTTATATTTTTGAAAGGGCCTTTAAAAAATAGGTGCCAACTTCGAAAGCAATGAGACAAGAAATATAAATTCTGCCGGCTCGGGAATCCCGTTCTGCCTAACATGAAATAGGTTTGACGAAGTATTTTAGGACAGAAAATCAGGAAACCCCCTGAGATATCAGTCGAAACAAAAGAAAACTGTGTGTTTAAACCCATCTGAAATGTTGGAATCATTCAGAAAATGATTGGAAGAGCGTTACTTTTTATTAAACGTCATAGGCATGAGTTCGAAGAACTTTTCGACTATATAAAATTCGTTCTAATTCCTCCTATTTACTGTATTCAAGTATGGAAGCCTGAAAATTATAAACGAATTTATTCTCTGGATTGGCCTTGGTTTTCCTGGGGGAAAAGCGGAGAATTCGCTTTTTCCCCACGAATAAAAGGTGGCCTACGTATTTCATACGATGAATGATGGTGAAGTCACCTGCATGATCGACCAATTGTCGTTGCTTTGTCTTGGTGGGTCTTTGTTCTTGTCAGATGCAAGCCATTCATTGTTTTCCCAGAGTGGATTTGTTTCCTTGTTTCGACGAAGGAGAAATAATCATGCGGGTACAGTATATTTTTCTTGGGGAATTTCCTGTTTGAAAACATTGAAATCTCCCACGAAGACGGGCTTTTTATTTCCGCTTCGGATGCATGAATGAAAATTTGTAAAGAAAAGACACCTGTTTTTTTGATGTGACAGATTGTAGTGACTTGGTGAAATGGAGTAGAATTCCGTTTGAACACATCTCCTTATAACGAGTTTTGTCTTTGTCCTGGAATTTTTTTTTTTTTTGCGCTGGAACAATTTTATAAAAATTTTGTTAATGCAAACTAATTTTGCTCGACAGTAAAATCTCATGTATTACAATGAGCTCCCAGGCACGTGATGAAAATTATTTATGACGTAAAATTCTTTCTATCGAGATTCGTGGTTTTTTAAAAACACATTTTACACCCTGAAAATTTTGCAAGAAAAGGGTGATAGATACTGTGAAGTGCTTCCATTACAGATGATTCAAAACCTGTCATCATTTTAAAGTCTTTCTGATTAAATGCAAAGAAAATGTTTTGAATCTGTAGCATAATAATTCTCATTTGATTGCACCTGCCTCTCTGTTAAAGTGCCATTTGTCTTGAGAAAATGAAATGAAACTATTGTATTCTACATTTGGGACAAATATTTTTGTCTGAATCAACTCATTCATTCAAACAAGGGGACATTCTTTTCAACATGCTTTTTATTTCAGTGAAAGTCTTACGATTTGAATCGGAGCGAAAGAATTCCCAGGAAATATGTTATTTTGTGTATTTTTTGAAATCTTGATACTTTTTATGAAAAGTTCTGATTCTGTGATGAAGTTGAAATGCTGAACCAGTTTTTTCATGTTTCTGTAGTTTATGAAATACATGTCATATCAATGGCTTATGGACCAAATCTGGGCAAAAAATTTGTTATACTGAAATTATACTCTAAAATGAGTTTTTTTAATGAGATTTCTATAGCATGGGGCATATGGAAAAACGGCTGGGATGTAGAAATGTTTTGTTTGCGAAAAATTCATTATGACGAGATTTGTTGAAATGGAATTTCACTGTAAGCTCAATGGAACAAATGTTCGCCTTTATTATGTATGCATGGACCATACTGATTATTACTGATTGTCACAATATGGGAAAACCCCAAATGGTCCCTGAATGAAGCACCTGTAAACAAATTAAAACGCTGAACTTCTTCTTTTTCTGTAGAAAATTTAGCATTTCAGGAAGTATGAAACTCTAACCAGAATTTATTCAGCATTATTTTAGAATCTGGAAATGGCTTTTTTTCTTAAGAAAAGTTTGTTTGGAAGGATACTGCTTTATTTGAGGGAACACACAGTTCTTCAAAGATAAATTATCTTCTTACATTTTCTCTTTGTTTTTGCTCACACTCCAGTAGAATTTATGTATATTCCAAAAAATTCAGAAGAAGGTCTGAAGTAAGATACTTGTGTAGTTATGTTCCACATTTTTGAATTGTTTGTGTCATTCCACCAATAGAAATTCGAAAATGTGGGCAATTCTTCTTTCTTCACATATTTGTAGTGAAAGTGTATCTTGAAACATTTATTACCTGTGATTGAATGTGGAGTACCACTTCCTCAAATGACCAAGAATCCAATTACTGTATAAAAATAATTTTCGTATGCCCCTAGGAGTTCGCTGTAATGAGAATTTTGCTGTAGTGTTTCTCCCATTTCGTGGGTCGAGAAGTGGAATATAATCTTTTCGACAATCCGGGACAAGAGTGGATAATATTATGGGGAGAAACTGATGTCATGTCTGAATGCTCAAGAACCGATTCCCCGCATATAATTTTCACTTTCTCTCACTTGTCAGCGTCGTCTGTTCCGAATTAAACAGACTGCGTCCATTGAATAATGCGGTTTCCTTCATAATGAACACGGACGTATGCTTCCAAGATCCTTTTGAATATTTACTCGGAAAAGAAAAATGAAAATGAAAAATTACCTCGCCAAGTTAAAAAAAAAAAAAACGTTTACGATCATTCAGTTTTTATCGCATCCAATCGGTTTATTTATTGAAGATTCGTTTTTTTTTTTGTACGAAGATGCTGCAATAATTGAATATCTCTGTTCTGTTCTTTGAGAAGGACCTCTGCTTTTGAACATGTAAAAAAAAAAAAACCTGAAAAATTGACGAATGTCGCTTTTCCGGGAAAAGACTTGTTCAACGAATGAGCCTCGTCACAGTTTCTGCTTCAGTCCCAAAATTAATCAAAGTTTCCATTGTAAAAAACGCTGAAATGCGTTCAGAATGGTTTCATAAATTTCCAAATCACATGAATCAATGCTAAATTGTTTTATTTCTGCCCACAATCATATGAGAGACGAAAAAGAAACACTGATGTTGTTCAGAAAAAGCGTTCAATTTGTTTTTCAATATAGAGCTCAGCTTATTCAGTTTCCTGGTTTTTATTTTGCTGTTCAGAAAACAAGCACTTGATGAAATGCGGAAAAGCATTGAGAAAAACATTTATTTCAGTGGCAAAATGTTGTGTAAACAAAAATAATTTGAAATTTGTGTCCCAGAATTGAGATTGTCAGCATTCTTGTAATTTGTATCCAATCTGATCAGATTTTCAATTGATGTTCAACAAATACAAAGATTTCAAGACATCTCTTGATTCTTCATATTTAATACTCTACCATTGAAACTTATTGTTAATTTAGGTCTGACAACTTTTAGAGGTGAGGAGATTTTTTATGCTTATTACCAGGTTTGTACAATGAAGACTCCTTGAGTTTCCCATGAAAGAATGTAAGTGTTGATTCTTGTACTGAACAATTATGGACAAAAGCAATTCATTTCCAACAGCAGTATACAATGAGCAATCAGGGCATGTTCATAGAAATACAGGTGACTTTATAGACTTTGCGGCCCTAGATTTGGCAAGATTGGTCAGACCTGGATCTGACTTTGTCCAAAAAGAGTTGTGTAACTTGGCAGTGCGTGACTCAGCATGGCTTGCAGTTGGGAATTGAGAAAATGCAGAAAAACTCAACTTTTCCATGGATTGTCTCATAGCAGGAAGAAATGACAGAAGTATTTGGTTACATCTATGTGTAACATTTTTAAACAGAAAAAAAATTTATTTGGTGGATCCATGATAAAGTATACAATATAATCTGATGAAAAAGACTTTTTATTTTAAAGTTACTTGGTCTGACTGCAATTCTAGGAATTTAGGTCATTGATCCAATCAAAGATGGAAATTTGATTGTCATTAAAAAAAGTTCAAGTAAAATTTGACTTCATATTTAAACTAGTATTTGCAGAGATGTTCTAAAGTTGAGATGGTCTGAAGATTATTTTCTGATCCCGTCGATTCATCTTGCCAAATTTTTTTTTATTAAAAAACGTCTTCCAACAAAACGTTTAGGTGAAACAGTGCATAAATTTCGTCAAATTTCAACTTTGGAATTTTTCCTGAAGGAAATTGACAAATCATGGCTAAGTTTTGGTGATGCTCATCTTTAAAACTCATCAATGTAAAAGCGCGAACTCTTCACCGTAACTGTGTATGAATTCCAAATTTATGCTGAAAAAGGCTTGAATTTTATGTTTCATTTTGGTCTTCTCATGAGTTTCGGGAACAAATTGAATCCTTTGCAATATAATCTTGAGCTGATATGTGTTTAGCATTACAAAACGCATCCTGGGATTGATCCGTTTTGTAATGTGGTAACTCTTTATACACACACTTGGCTAGCGCCAAATTTTTTTCCGTTCTAAGTTCTGCAGAATTATCGAGGAACGAGTTTTATTGCTCCAGGTCGATCAACCACGAAATGTCCTTTCCCTTTTTCAATCATTACTATCGTTAATGATTGTATTTAAAAATTAATTACGAATTATTTTAAAATTTTATTTGAATTGCTATCAGCTCGGTCGACCACGAAAAA